TTATGTCGATAAAAAAAAATTATATAATTACGATGTGCAAACTATTTATTGATAATTCAACAAGGAATACTTTAACTATTATATAATGTACAATATTGTTGCTAAGTTCTAAGATACAAGCACACAGAGAAACATATTGTTTAAAAACGGATTACTTACTAGTTTAGCATAATGAACAAAATAAAGTAGTTTTGATGTACATTTGTTCAATTAAAAAAGTTTTCAACAAACAAAATAGCGTTAAAAGTCTAATGGCTGCTAGTTTTGTACAGTTTTAATAACGCACGAAAAAAAACTTAACTTGCAACGGCTATCTCAACAAAAACAAACAGAATATAATAATATTATCTTTAACGTGATTATTATTATTATATATAAGCCGTAGATAAAGTTTGCTGACAACATGTTTTCTTTAAATTATAAGGTCGTCGTCGTGCAGTAAACCTATCTAAACCTATACAACCCAATCCATCATATAAGGCCGCACGTCAAAACTGTTCCCCTATAGTTTATAACAATGTATAATAGCTTAAACGTTTTATGTGGATGAATTTAGAACTCCTGACTTTAATATTATTTTAACGTTCTAAATAAGATACAATGTAAAACGATTAAAACGCCCATCATTCGTATAACGTATCATTAAGTTCACCATCTGGCTTATAATTTTAAAAAACGGCTAATGCAATTACAATTTATCAACCTATAATGTAATAGATTGCAGATTAGTTTTAACTAAAGCATTTATGTTGCTAATATTTTTATTAGTTTAATAATACTAATAGTAATGATTTTAGAATGATTTAATAGAATTGGTTTTAAAAAATATTATTGAACATAAAAAGTTTGTAGCTAATAAAAAGCAAGTAATCGATGAGATATTTCAAACTAATTATTTAGTGTACAAAACTGTATGCGCTATGGCTGTTGAACGTCCCTGATTAATAATCGAGTAATCATTTAAAAAGAATAGTTAAAAAAAAATGGTAAAAACCCAATTTTATTGTGAAAAAAAAATTCAAATAGTAACAGTACACTGTGGATCACTTTTTCTTTTACTGTTGACTAAGTGCATTGTTATTTTACTCTATCGTTGTCTTAATATAACTGATCTCCGTATCGTTATCAACCTTGTAGCATATTGAGTATATAAGAATATAATAGTCATATACACCATCATTTAATAGTTCTTGAAAACGTACCACAAAATGCAATTAAACCGTCAAGAACACAAACAAATTACAACGCATTTAGTTGAGTTAAAATGTAATTCAATTAAATTTCTACTGTAAAAATCTATTAATTTCCAACATTTTTAAAGATAAAATATTGTTGTTCTGTAAGCTGACTTTTTTAGTATTATGCAGACGGTCATGACCTTTGCAAAAACGATAGTGTACGATAGATATTGAGCTAGACTAAACTGACTATTTATTGTCACATGGAGTAGACCGTACTGTGCTGTTATATTATAGGTAGCACATGTTTGGTGCATTATATCACAGTAGTTGCGGTCACCGTCGCCAGGTGTTTGTTTAGTTAGCCTGTGTTCTGTCGCTTACATAGCGATTCTTATGTAGCTCATACAGACGTACAGTCTGTGTTAGCACGGCATGTTGACATAATGTCTGCGCAGGATACGTCTGAAACGTTTACTCAAAAATACTTGTTTTCGCTTCTCCGACTCGGATAGCAAAAAACAACAAGAGGAATTTTCAACCTTAGTAATAAAAATCTAGTCGTTTATGTATAAAATTAATTATCAAATATGATTAAGCACACGAAATTATGTTGCGTGTTAGATATACAAACATGTGTACTCCACAATAGACTCAAATATAAACTAGGCTGCTCAAAACAATACAATAATGTGTAAAACCATTAATTAATATAAAAGTAAAATATTGTTTTAATTAATAAAATAATTTAACTATTTGTGTTCAAATGTTATAAATTTTTTTAAATGCCTATAATCTTGATCTAAATTGGGGCTATAACATCTACAATTTCCTTAAAAATCTGTAGTTAAACTTTTTTTGTTATAAAGGAAAAACTCAAAACAGAGGAAAAATTACATTGAGCGTTGTCAATTTTTAAGTTACTATGTGAGTACTACGACGTCAACCCTAATTTTAAATATTACTCTTCGGTATCATTTACTCAAATGGGCACAAGTTTTAAATTTAAATGCAAATTTTGTTTTAGAAAAACAAACAAATTCCATGGCATAACTTATATCTAATTCGGTAAGAAACATATGAATAAAAATACAAATTTTTCATTGTTTTATTAAAGATACATTCACCCTAATTTTTCCATGTCGACGTTCATGCGATAACTTAAGCAAGCATCGCGAGAAAACTGAAAATCAAATCTAAGTTATAAGCCTTTGCGGATAATCTCTGTTGATTTTCCACAAAGTGACAAGATAATTGTCATGGTTTGGTTAAGTATGAAACACATGCGATGGGGACATGGCACGGGCAAACACCCGGGTGGTCACCCATCCGGGATCAAGCAGCGACGGACGCAGCTTAACCTCGGGGCTGAGTTAACCACTGCGCCACACCTAACCACTAATGTGAATAATCTTATGGCAGTTAGTATAATATTGTGTGAGCCGTGTAAAATGCACGTAATATTTGCTCGGTACTAGTAGTCGAGTCGAGTAAGTGATAATTGTGATGACAGTCATTATACTTTATCTGCGCCGTGCCGACGAATGTTAAAAGGAAATCCTCTTTTAGCGTTTGTAGGTCAATAGTCGACAAGCGGAAACTAATAAAAGTGTATATAGCTGTTATTTACTTATTTTACGATTGTTGATGTTTTAGTTTGAAACCCGATTTCCATGTATTCAAATGAGTCAGTTTCCAAAATCATTGAACCCCGTATAGCAATATTATGACATTCGAACGAATTTTGAGATGTTTTTATAACGAATGTAGGTATTTTTAGTTTAGTTTTTCGGATAAAATATTCAGGCTCTTTTATTTACGAAAAAAGTTACTGGTTTTGTTTTTCTTAATTACAAAAAATTTAAAGTAAAAACAACTGATTCGCCTATTGTTTAACGTATGTACGTGTACACAGTCTATAGTTGGCAAACACTCTGTTTAATACACACGATATAAACATGTTTTTTTATTGCTTACGGAACAGTTTTCAAACGTCCAAAATAAATTATTTATTAATATACAAGGTGATTATTTTATCATGAACCATTCAATATTTCATTGGGTTTAACTGCATTTTTTTTCACAGCGTTTTTATATAATGTGATCTTCATTTTCCACAACATGCTTATGTTCCTATCCCCTTCCCAAACAAATTATACTTATATCAGCATCGGAAACTTAAATGGTAACACATACATTTCATTAACTATATAAATTTAAAATAATGTACTAACAATTTTAACCAGTTTTGAATAAGTTTCAATTGTAGGGCAGGAGTGTTATAATATTTTTATCTGCGCGGACTTCCCCCGTCCTAACTTTTAATCTCTTGTAACTTTAAAAATAGTTGTTCAAAACTGGTTATCAACCAATCAACATTTTTAGTAAAATATTCTTAATTTTAAAAGTTAATAATATATACACGTTACCATTTCAAAAGTTTATATACAATTGATTAGTTTTGGAGGGGGTAAAAACACAAAAAATTGTGAAAAATTGAGATCACATTGCATAAAAACGCTATGAAAAAAATAAATGTTTTATTAAACCCTATAAGATATTGAGCGGTTCGCGATATAATGATCACTCTGTATAATATTTCGGTACCGGTTTTGCAGCCAAGGGCGAAGAGCAGATTTTCCCGTTTGACGCACAACCCCGTGACTACAGTAACCCTCCCCCCACTTTCGGTTTTATATTCAATATAAACCCCTATACACAGTGCCGTGGACATTGTTGTGTTATTACTATTGTACCTACCTATTTCATCCCGTATAACAATAAAAAAAAAAAAAGAGGGTAAACTATAAAAATATTTAACCACTAACAACGTTATATAGGTACCGTTCATCGAAAATATGCCCATTTTCATTAATTGCACGGTATTTTTAACAGTTTTTGTGGTACTTCCACATCAAAATCACATTTAACTCTAATAAAAAAAGTATTTCGCTTAATTGAATAATTTTACAAAGAGAGTATTGACGATACTGTATAATTATATATGTAACTACTTACTAATATAGGTTTGTAAAACGACACATGATTTCGGTAAACATATTCACATGAGCTAAATTCGAGAAAAAAAAATAGTAACACCTGATTAATGGTCAAAGCTGCAATTTTTTATATTTATTTCTTTTGTAGGTTACTTCTGACGGTTTTTCAAAATACATGTTTCTTTTTTAACGTCACGAACACCGCTGCTCCAACCGCGTGAACTTGAAATCATTTGTTTTTGGCAACTTAACTTATGGCAAAATAGTAGCTTTTCATGGCCACGTTAACATTGGTATACCCCCTCCCCCCCAAAATAATAAACAAATAAGATTGCAAAACTTTTTTTATCTTTATTGCCATAAACATTGGATTAAACCAACAGTAAAATAAAAGAGCAATAAGTATATAAACTTTTATGTTACCTACAGTGCTCTTTATCGATATTTCTACAGCCATAACTCATATACATCCATTAGTAATTAGAATATTCAATTGAGGAGACGCAAAACCCCTCGGTTTTGTGTTGTCAGCTAAACACTGGACATAAACACTGAATAATGTATCCGGTTGACTTTGGATACTTGGCTCAATGATACTGACATTTTTCACTTTCAAAAAAAAAAAAAAAAGAGAGATAGGCAATCGAGTTATTATAATAGCGTGACATTGACGAAAATATTATTTTTGTAAAACAATTATTTACATTTGATGTACAAATTATGAAATACATGTAAAAAATATATAATTCTAATGTTAACCGACACGCTATGTTATATTTATTCCATAGTAATGTTTTATAATTAAGGAAATAGTCAATTATACCTTATTATTCGTTAAAACTACAGTCTGATTTGGTCGGCTTGTTAAAAAACAAATTCGTCTCGACCTACAAAAATGTACATATGTAGATATTATTACATGCACCTATAATTATATATACGGTTCGGTTGGTTGTATTTAAAATAACAATATTATATATATAGCCATTGGCATGCCATTTCTAGTTTATTTCTGTTCCTCTTCAATTATAGCATTTTTTTACAACTCAACACCGAAATCGAGTAAAATGGTGATATTATCATGTTGACAGCTATGCCAATATTACGATAGGTCAGTTAGATCAGTCGATTGAAACGTATAATAAATATAAATAAATAAATAACTACAATAACATATTTTTTACATACCTATTAGTTAGCTTAATCGTTTTAAAATGAAAAATCTGTATGTTACACGCAGTATCAGTATTAAATAATCCCGGGTCGGTTGGCAGTTAAATTTGACGTTCAAACGTGGAAATAATTATTATTGTTTTACACTTACAGTATAATATGGAACACCAACTGTATTTATTCGAAACGGTTGTCGTTAATCGGTTCGTTTAACGTGGCCGTCCCGCGTGGACTGCCTATAGGTATACCGCGGCGCGTGTGGAGAGGCCGCCAACATACAGGCTGACGATAATATAAGCCCTAAGTAAACCGTGTGCCAGTATTGCCCCCGCCACGGCCAACAGGTCACGACGCGACGCCGGTCGACAGGGTAGACAGGTGTGGTGCTCGAAATTCCCCCGAGCCAAAACACAAATGCTCCTTTATGTCATCTCAATTTTGCTTTTATTCCGAGTTGACGTGTTTTCAACAGTAATGGAAAATTGCTCTTATAATGTTTTAATACATCTCATAAAACACATCATAATATATAAAATATAGTGTATCGTAAAATCGCTCTCGAAAGGCTGTGGAAACATTATTATACATAACGTATAAAATGGCAAAACCACAGTCGAAACCACTTAAGCGACAACAATTTTAAAAACTTTAAATTATTGTTATTTAATAGAAATATTTTACTTAGGCAATATTTTCAACATTAAATTCTGATAGCCTTTTGTTTAAAATAATTTTTTCAATTTGATTTAGGTAATAGCTTTATTTAAGTACTTCTCTAGTATTTAGAATATTTTTCTTACACATGTTTTAAGTACTTAGAAGTTTCAAAATATTGTTTTTTTTCGTCATTATTCATTAGTTTTTAAATAATCCAATGTGGAGCTGAACTCAAAAAATAAATCTGATTAGCGTTCAGCGGCTGAGAGTTGTTTCTAAATAGAATTATAAAAATATATTGATAGTATATTATTATGAATCAAAATAATTAGAAGCAGTTGAAACATAAAGATATTATCTTATAACTTATTCTGTATTTAGTTTTCGTGGTAAACACATGTCAAGTATTTGTTGTTAATTACTTTTAGAATTATGCCCATTTAGTACATGCTTTAACAATACTATCTATTTGCAAAAAAAAAAGTATATATGTAGTATTTACATTGACTCATATTACATGTATATAACTGTTTATATATACTATACATTATATTTATTTATTTTACTACCATATTCGATGTTGACACAAGACAGTAAACAAACAACTGTTTGTAATATCATGTGCAAAGAAAAACAGTACTTTTTTGCTACTTATATGTTTCATAACATTTGTATAACTTAAATTCAATTAATACCTATATATTATAGCGACAAACGATAAAAACTGAGTGCAGATAACAGCTAATAAACCTTACAATGTGCCAATAAATTGGCTAAGGTATACAACTATTTTTATTTGATTTGTCAATAAGTATCAATATACTTGTTTCAGATAAGTGGATAAATTCTAGTCGTTTCATCAAGTTCAAATATCAAATAAAATTGTTTTAGTGTATTTATTTTTATAACGATTTTACAGAGAAGACTATATTTAAAAGCTTTCACATTGATTTTATGAGATTAGTAAATACGAGTTTGAACTTTTAACTCAGACTAGTGACTACATTAAAAACAGGTACCAGCCTGTTTTTAAACGTTTTATTCTTTTTAATTCAATGTTATACATCAAAAGGTTTTCTTAAAAATTATTTTATAACTTTCAAATTTACTGTGATATCCAAGTATTATACAGGTATTATTGATAATATCACTTTTAATTTAGCCCGTCGCTTCGACTTATACACTATTTAATTACATTAATGAATAAATGGCTCTGTACCCAGCTGGTCTTATTGATATAGATTTATTAACTTAAGTGCTGAACAATTTTCAAACAATAATATTGATTATTGATATTATGTACGGCATGAGAACAGACCCACCATTGGTGTGACAATTAGAAACTTTGATCACTTACCAACGCGTTGCCCATCTATGCATTATGCTATTACAGCAAACTACCCGACTGACATACTAAACTTCATTATGACACTTTCTCAGGTAAAACATGAACTTAATTTTCAATATAAACAGATTAAATAAAATTTATTAAAATTTAAGTTAATTCAATGTAAATAATATTGACAATTCTGGAAGTAGTAGTTTTTTCGATGAATTGCGTCAATCAAACCTTCATTTGAGAGTTATCATTCCAGGCTTAATTATTATTTCTAAAGACTTGTGACCACTTTATGCTTCGACCCCACCGTGTTGGCTTTTGTTTATTTCAATATTATTCAGACACAAAAAAATATATATGAATCACCCAAACCATGAATACAAATTATAATGTAGAAAAATTGTTACATACAAATTTCAAGAGTACTTATAGTATCTTTTACGGTATATAAAGTATTTCAGTAGTTTAAAAAAACGTGGTTTTTGAAATGTAATTTCTAACGAATTGAATTTATGCTAAAATTCGGTATTTAACATCACTTTGCCCCACGGCCATAACGGTACTAACGGACAGAACTTTTTCACTAAACCAGACACGAAAATCCCATTATCGAGGTTCGTTTAGAGCTATACAGCATTATTTTTGTTTACCACCGCGAAGGCATATAATAAAGTAATTTATTGATATTGATGCTTTCCATATGCGCATGAACTGGTACAGACCTCAAGAGATTTTCGGTATACGGTCAGCAAATACACGATTGTGAATTGCGACAATGCAGGCATTGAATTAGATCCCGCAATGTATGCACAGCAAGATCCTATTGACAATGGTCGTGGGGGTTGGCGGTAATAATTTGAAAGCTTTGTTAAATCTGCGCCTCGGAGAATGCTTTTAAATGTTCTACTAGCGTTAAAAATAATACTCAATACAACGATAGTACATTTCGCGACACTCAAAATTTTAATTTTCCACACACAGTCTAAACAGGTAAGATTTTTTTCATCTTTGGCCTTGAAAACTTTTTTATACATTTTTTTTTTTAGAAATAAATCTCAATAAATATATCATTTTTAGATGTTTTTCAAAGTTATATTTTGATCTTTTTATTATTAAAAAAAAAAAGCGATGCAATGTCAGAAAAAATGTTCTCTTTCTTAAACTACAAAAGATGGGAACTTTTTTTGTGTCCTCTCTCTCTGAGATTCGTTTTAAGATTTAATGGTCTGAAAATATTTAAGCAAAATGCATTTCGTTTATTGTAATACATATAAGAAACAAAATAAAAACTCTATTTTTTTTAGTATTAAAAAACGCAATTGGAATAGTTTTAATTGTAAAAATAAAAATAAATCACTTCAAGTATGAATGTTTTAAAAAGCATGTATAACAAGAATTATAAATTGTAGTTAATTACTATAAAATTATTTTTAGAAGGTCAGACTGAACATATTATTGCAATTAATGTAATTTAATTTATCTAATAGTAATTATGTCTTATACTAGTCTAGTATATTCTAATACTAGTTTCTTTAGTTACGATGCATAAGATCAATAGTAAACTGTAAATAATTTTAATTAAGTGATATTAAGTATTTTGTTGACGATAAAAATACAAAAATATTTCTCGCTGCAAACAAAATTAAAGCAAGGTGAAACAATAGCACTTTAGATGTAAGCCCATCACAGCCAGAGACAACGAGCACCCACTTAACCAAGTGAGAGCAATAACAATATAATATAATCACTAACATTATTAACTATACTAATATTATACACTATTAAAAACTCATGTTTATAAAAAGAATACTATCTCATCAACGGGACGAAAAATAAAATAAAAATCAACCGTCTTATGTCTACCTAAGCTATCTTCACTAATATAATATTCATTTCTCGGCTACACGAATAAAAATAAAATTGTGAATATGTTTTTGTCCTTAGAATACGATTCTGTGCTTTTTTCTAAAGGAAATATTCCTCTCCTACCTCTCCTCTGATCCCTCCATCACAACCCTAATATTTTATAACTGATCCCTTAACAGTAGCCTTTATCCTGCTGTCTCTTGTCACAAAGCCTCACATTCCCTCTTCCTCTCCTTACCATTCTTCTGCACCCCTTACTTTTTATATTCATCCTCTCCCGTGACCACAATGATGATCCTGGTGGCACGATGACGCTAATTCGAAACACCCAGCCCAAAAACATATTCCTGTTAACATGTTTCAAATAAAGTATTTTAACAACATTAATACGTCCGAATATTTTGCAACGACAACTAAAATTATTAATATTTATTTTTATTAAATTCTGAATACGAGTTTAATGTAAAATGTGACATGCATATTCCACGCCAAAATATCGTTTCAACTATATTGTTGATCCTTTCTGCATTTGACACGAGCAAAATGATTCAGTTGCAGATGTCATAAATGTAGCTCTTTGATGTGCAAAATGTAATACGGTTTTGATTTGAGTGATACGGAAAAAGCTTTTTATTAAGGGGCAAAATATATTTCACATAATTTGATCTAGGAGCTATTTTAAATAAATCAACTTGTATAAAGGTAATACTAACTTTTTCTAGCCACTTAACTTTTTATTATCATTTATTTTCATCCGAGTTGTGGCGATAATTTAATAGAAAATTATTATTATAGAAGTCACTTTTCAGCGTATCTATTGAATCAATTTTGTTTTTCTATGGAGGCTCCCAGGTCATTTTTTAGCTAAGTAGAATAGTAGTTAAATTTATTGGAAAACCTATAAAAAAATATAAATGCTTATAACTCAATTTTAAAAATAAAAAAATCGGCCTTTTAGCAATCATAGAGGACCTTATAACCTTTTATAAGTTATAAAGGAGTCTTATACCATCCTTATAACTGAGACCATTTTTAAGAAATTAATTTGGCTGACCCTAAGACGTAACTTTGCGTTTTATTTTTAATTTCAATAAAATTCGGCCCTTTCTGTTTCCCTTATTAATTATAAGCTTCAAAGATCAATTATTTATTCTATATAAAAATGTGTATGTAGTATAAGAAATAAAATAATATCATTACTATGAGTTGTCAAGCTAGTTCAAACTAATGAAAACAAAAAGTCTAAAATTTTATTCTTAGCTTTTTTAATTTAATTTGCTTAAATTAAAAGCTAATAGGTTATTTTATAATTATTATGTACTTTTGGTATAGGTTTTATTGAATTCAATCTAACTGGTTACATGGTATTTTGTACTATGCGAGCAAACCTTTATATTGACATATATTTATTTTCTGTGTGAAGCTGAGAAGGTATTGATTTTACAATAATGTGTTTTTTATTTTTGTGACTGCCTACACAATAATTTATCCTGGAACTATTCGACCGATTTACTCCAATAGCATAGCAATGAATCAGAAATCATAACTAGGAAATTTGTATAAGTTAAAAACGTTTAGTGGTTAAACTTCATTTTCAAAACGAAAAACATCGAAAATTCGCAAATTGTTCTGTACTTGAAATGTTAACAACAAATACATAGCTATTTTTTTTCTCCCATATACCCTATACCATTTGTATAATTTGTTAAAAGCAGGGGGGGAGAAGTAGGCAAATTTACACAGGGGGGACAAAATAATCCTTTTTGTTTAGTTTTTGGTAACTTGTTAATTTCTTGTTAAAACAGTATGAAATAGTGAGGGATGTAAATTATAAAACATGTTAATATATTTTTTGTCATAGAACCACTTCTTAATTTTCGCCTGGTTGTACTAATTAGGCTACAAATAAAATATAAATACAAAGGAGGGGGGGGCAGATTCTGTGCCCGCCCTCTGGATACGCGCTTGATACTAAATATTTACATACCTTGTCGTTTACTTATTCATGTGTAATGTGTTTAATGTATATGCAAACAACGCAACACCGATGTATTATATGTACGGCTTGTACTATATATTCTTACGAGGAAACTAATCTCATAACTTGATGATTTGTCGTGTGACAAGCTTTGCATAATACTGGATGATAAAGGAAATGCGTGATAATAATTTCAAATGGGTAATAATAATCACCTACAATCTGTTATGCTTACGGTAAATGAAAAAAACAAATAATAATTAACGGCAACGAAAACAACAATTTGTCCAAACGAAAACGTGTCCTGCGAAAAATTAATTCGTTGTTATCGTTTTGTTGTTTCAAATACATTTTTTTATGTTGTCAAAAAAAACTGTCCTCTGTAATACATGCACATTAATGTTATATATTTAAAAAAATTTTAAATAATAAATATGTACCTAATTAACCTCAAAATGATCATTTGCATACATTTCATGTCTCTATTGGAATACGACCTAACTGTTTTATACACGGTAATGCAAGTTCGATAATAATGATCATTTATTGGCTCATAAACGTTAAAATGGGAAATTATCACTCAATGCCCAATGGTGTGAAATAACAATACACCGACCGAGTTCTATAATGTGTATAGTTTTACGGCAGCTCTAAACTCACACTCATATACTATCAATGTATATTCTGGTCATGGTATATATTCTATACCATGACAGTAGTATTCAAAAGTGATATTGTTCTGTCACGATGAATATATGCACTCAAGTATACTAGGGATGTTGAAAACTCGGCGGTGGCTTAAGTTTTAAGTACTGTCGCGGTATTGACGTCAACACAACACGATTTTGTCGTAAACCGCGTTGGGAAATACTGGCGACGCTCATAAAAACAACGGTTATGTCCTCTTGTGCCCTAACGGTGGTGTATTTGTTTTGCGACGGCCAAGTACAAATGTGTCACCGTCAAGTGGTGGTCTGTTTCGGGCGAGGTGGCGGCGCTGTGACGGCAAAGGAGACCACTTTAACGGTATTCCGCAGTCCGATAGAAAACAAAGAACACCTGCTAGCTTTTCAATGACTTTGGCGAAACGAAGTGGAAAACTCGACCGTGGTAATTATTTTTTCAAAACAAAACACGTCTGCGAACAAACAACGAAAATGTACCTACTCGGAAATTTCATTTTGGCGCACCGACCAACAGCATGATTCCAATTTCCAAGTACACATTTAATAGACGAGATCCGGTAGCGTTGGAGTTGTAGAAAACAAAACTTCCAAGCAATTCTGTAAGACCATGCGCGAAAGAGGTCGTAGCATCTGTACTAAAAAAAAAAAATCTATACAATTACACGATTAATTATATAAATTATAGGTCATCCTAATTTTTTTATAAAAATTTAGCGTTCCTGCGTGCTGGTCAATGAACGATCGAATGGTAAACACAAAAACAGTACGATAAACGGTCGTGCACCAAAATAATTCTCTATATGATATTTTAACTGATCTATAGGCTAGCACGTCCGCTCGCGGGTCGACCGGAAAACATAGTATACATGGCACACGCCAACTGGGTCCAACCGTAAAACAATAGTAATGATAATAATAATAATGTAGCATTGTACACTATAATATAACGGTCTGTGTACCGTCGCTGGTGGGACTTGGGGTGCGTTAAGCCAGTGGATGCGCCGTTGTCTTAACGACTGCGACGTCAAGATAGGTACCGGTATTTATACGTACGTAGTATATAATAAATATGATTATACAGGATCACTTGGAACGTGGTCCACATATTATTTTAGACATCCGATTTTTGTGAACGAGTACAAACCTATTTCTGAGTTCCGTCATTGAGGATGACCCTACGTATTAGGTAGGTTTCTTTTTAAAAAAGTTGAGCGAAGGAATTTCTTCACAAAAATAAATTAACTAATAATATCTCATCTGTAATAAAAGAGTATTGGCATGCACACGACGGTAGTTGTTAATTAAGTAATAGTAGTTATTAATTGTTTATCACAGCGACAATATTTAACTTTTTTCCTTATAAAACATTCCATTGCTTTACTATTTTACAGTTTTACAAAAATACATATATATGGTTGTTCCTTGATTATTTTTCTATTGTAGTATAACCTCATTCAGGTTTCTTCGCTGGTTTTGTTTTTTAATTTCGTTTTACCATGCACTTCGGTGAGTTTTTTTTTTTAGTTTTATGGTTGTCTTATGGTGTATACAACGATTGAATTCAACACAACTAGTGACATATAATATCTAATTATGTCAATTGGTAAACTGTTATTTGTTTTTCAAAGCAATGCATAGTATAGACATAATTTGTAGTTTCCTATCTGATTTTGTTTACATACAAACTAATAGAATATTGAAAAATTTGTATTTTCAAAGGTGTTATTCCACGATTTTCTATAGACTGAGATGACGTTTTAATAAATGCATACTTTAGTTTGAGTTTTACAGTACGATTTTCCGAAAATCTAAACTTTACCGAACTGCTTAATAAGCGAGGTAGGTAGAAATGATGTTGAACGTTATTAAACGATAGTTTCCATCGACCGAGGAGAAACCAATTAACTACTAAAGTCGGTACCAATTTTCGGAATTTCCTCGGTGATTATTTTAATGATTCAACGTACACATAGTGTATCATATTACATTGTCGTTTAGGAGGCAAACAATATAAAACCTGTAAATGGCAAAATAACTAGATGGGACCACTCTGGTAACTCATTTAACCCGCCCCTATAATACTTGAGATCAGTAAAGGCGCTCATGGATCATCAGTTTGCTGTAAATAACTCATTCACAAAATGTATTTTTTTTAAACAGGTAAAATTAAAATTTCTGAAACGACTCGAGTCTGACCACTACTTACACAGAAAAAGCACAAGTCAGCGACTATCAGACAAATAGATGGAGTTTATCACTGAACGAGATAAGAGTGGGGAGACTATCTGACAGTATTTGGAATTCCAAAAATGAGCCCAAAAGTTCCATCCTTGAGATTGAGAGTTAACCACGAGCAACCTGTGGTTATAATTTTACGCCATTTTTCTATCTCATAAAAAAATTAGTCTTTAACCAACATTAACATGTGTGTTAACCACATTAGAATTTTTTTAAATAAAAAATAATTTATTTAATAATAATTTAAAAAAAAAAACAACCAACAAGTACTCAATATAGGATTTAGGTACCTAGGTATCATAATTGTATTATATTTAGAAGATACCGAGAACTTATTAAAGAGTACATAGTATAGGCAATTTTCACTTTTTAGTAAAATCTTATCTTAAAGCTTAGACTATAGTGTATATATTTTGAACACAATAATGATGATGTTTATTGGTTTTTTTCAGACTATCGCTGTAAAATCTTACAAGATTCTCCAATTGCAAATATTTGACAGCTAAAACTAGATAATAATTATGTACATAGAGAGTCCTGACACATTTATCTACAACAATCTGGCTGTTTTTAATTCATAATATTTACTTTCGATAACCTGTCAGATTTACTTCCGTTACGGTTTCTCTACTGTACTCCTAGCCAAAACACCAAAGCGCGCGTAAAGATGTCTGATTATTGTTCTGTACGACTATTATTGTACTTGTAAATTTTGATATAATCATATTTTATTAATAAAGGCTACAAAATTGTTTTAAAAAAATTGTATCTGCAATTTTCAAAGCGTCTAAACTTCCCTAGTAGTTCTATGTGCACCCACGGCCAAGGTGACATTTTTCCAATTTTCCAAAAAAAAAAAACCGTTTTTTTCCAAATTAAATTTTTTTTCTCTCTATACCGTCCAGGTGTAAGCGACAACGGCGATAATAATTTTATACGATAATATTATAATATCGTATGTATGTATATATATAATATATTATTATAATACCGCAACGGGACGTGTAGTGTTTTGTTTGTGTGTGTGTGTGTGTGCGCGCTTGCGGACACCCCTTGGCCGCGGTTTGGCGAGGCGGGCCACCGTACACTGGAGCGGAGACCGCGCCAGCGCCGACCGTGTGGACCGCCGTCGCGCATGACTCGGCCGCCGACTGCCATCGCCGGCACCGCATCGCAGGGTCTACCGACGCAGCGCTCACACGGCCCTCGTACGTGAACACTTATACACACCAACGTACACTGCACGCACTCATATTAACCGACGCCGTTTCCGCGGATCGCCAAAGTCGTTTAAAGTGTAATAATAATAAAAAATTTTTTTTAAAAAATTCAATTTTTCCGCCGCTCGTCCTTTCGTCGGGTTTTTCCGTTGATGAGAAGTTGGAAAAAAAAAAAAAAAATCAAATAGTTTTTTTTTTTTTTTTATAAATTTCCTATTTCCGTTTTCGACCGGTACCAGTGCGCCGCCGGGTAAGGTTCGCCAAGTGTTGCGGTCGTACGATTAGCGGTAACACGATATACCCGTCGGTATATTACAGTGTTATATAACAATTTATATATATATATAATACGCCATGGTATAAAGATTAAAATAATATTTTTACCGAGACCCGATGGACGTGCTCAGGCAGCGGCTATAACATACACGAGAACACCGGCTCGGCGTTTTTTTTTTTTTTTTTTTAACTTAACGGGTGAGTACGTACCGGACGATAATAGTGTGAATTTTTTTCCACCACAATTAGGTAAAAATATCGAATTTATTCCAATATATGGAGCGTAAAAGGCGGTGCACTAGGTATAATTTCGACAATCATCTAATGTCGCGGTACACGTGTGTGTGTATAAAAGTAACGTTCGCATAACACTGTTGGGCTCAGCTGAACTTGAGAGTAATAATAATATTGTAAGACGCAGGTTACTTACAAGGAAACGGTCCCTTTTTTTATTAAAATATTTTCTTTATTTACAACCTGTAAAAAATATGTATAATCAGCAAGTCTGATGACAAAGATACAATGACAATAATGTATGAATAGGAAGGCTCTCAGCAGTGCCACCTGACCAGAATAAATCGGAAACGGTATCTACGGTTGAAAAATATTGAAAATTCCGACGGCCATTCGAGTTAATGTACTAACATTTTTCAATTTCGCTTCGCCCACGTTGTTGATGTTTTTGAACTCCGCTATCAATTTCTTCCCAACCAATAATACCTATCTCAGGCCAGTGTTGGCCACTACTACAGTTATTATTGTATCGTTATTAACGTTATAAATTTGCTCCAAAATAACATTGGTCCATCACTTTATGGAAAACTTTGCGACGTGGGCGCACGCGCTTACAATAGGTAATGACTTTCGGTGAAATTGGTGGAAAACCCGTTGTGACCGCTATTATAGACAACCCAAGCTTTCGGCTACACAGATTGCGGTCGATCCGTCAACTCGACCGGTAGACAAATGTAATTGTATGTATATATATATTGTGTTTATTATTAAACGATCGGGTCGTATCTCTGAAATGTCCTTCTCGTCGTTATATTGACCCGCGATTGTGCCTCTTCAGCGTTACATTTAAAAATACCAACCTTTCTTTCTCGAGCAAACATTATTGCACACAGTCCGACGTGAGCAAACTAGTAGCTATCCAGATAATTTATCATCGATACAAATTTCAATAAGCGTCAATCATATTATTATGATTGGTTATCTGGAACTGTTAATGTAACCAAAAACACTGCTGTTTTTTTTTTGTTGTGAAATCCATATATTATGCTAAATGTATTTTTCTTTATCTTTTAACAATTCGTGTCAGTTTTAAGCTGCATTGAGTGGAGTACAGCTAAGACTTGGGATCCCTTAGAAAAAAACTCAATTTTTTTTTACGAATACAGCTATATTGCCTGTATTGACATTAGCCGTAGAGGAGCATTAACATTCAATTCTTTGACAATTTATAAATGACAAGTGAAGTAAAAGATATCACAACTCGTCGTTAAAATATACTGTTTGTGCGATTAAATATACAAAACTTGAGCCTTCCCTCTTCATAAAAAAAAAATCATTGTGGTTATGCTCGTCTTTGCATAAAACTAATGTTATTTCTTTGACTTATAGTCGTTGTTTAGTTTGTATACATTTAAGGAAATACGGGAATTCTATGTTATATTTTGTATTATTTTAAGTCGATTTATCCGTTATTCTTTACTAAAAGCCAACATTATATTATCTTGAGATGTTTTGATTAGTCATGATTATAATATTATTTTTATGACGTTTTGTTTTAGTGTAATGCATTTCCTAGAAAACTTTTTGTTTTCACAACCCACCTTGTCTACAAAATAATTTGGTGTCTCATCCCATCTGATCTTATAATTATTGTATTGTATGGGGGAGGAGGTTAACTATGTTATACAGTTATTGGAACAAAAGTTTACATGGTGAGATTGAGGATCGCTGTAGAATGTCGGTTATCATACCATGTTTCGACTTAAAAAAATATGTCAAGTTTACGACCTATTATAGTATTTTGTCAGGGGGGGGGGAGGGGAATTTCTTGAGTCACGATTGACTACGAGCTAACTCGTCGACTCTGCGGCGGTTTTGCCGCTACTATCGTATCGGCTTTTTGATATTAATATAATTTATATAGATAATATTTTATATGGTATGGTGTTATGTTGGGGTAAACCGGGACGGTTTGATTGCCGCGGTCGACGGCGATAAATGTAAATTAGTTGGCCGGTAATGTATTTACCGAACCCTCTTCGCCGACCCGGCCGAGAATTTTAACCTAGAAGTTTGCAGACTAGTTTTTGAGGGGAAAAAAATACACATACACACACACACTAGTCGTTTAGGGTCGGTAATAAGGACACACGGCCCGTTTTTATAAGGTGTCCGAGCGAAACAAAAAGCCACTGTGTGCATGTCACGCGGTCGTAGTCGGAGGCGGTTAAGCGAATCGATTGGAGCCGAGTCAAACGCGATCACGCGATATGCACGTACCACCTTAGCCTTAGATATACCTATATAATATGTACAGCTGGTCGGTGGTCGTTGCTATAAGATTTACGACTTTCACGGGTCCACGGCGACGCATAGAAATGACCAATTATTAGTATTATTATCAAAGTACACGTAGACTTGTGCTGTGTTGACCGCCCGGTGTGTTTCCCTTTATCTGGATCCCTTTATCGAGTCCGTCCGGCTAGGGTTTAACCGAAGTCTTGGAACGCACCCCCAAAAACCCTAAGAACAGGGTTGAGAGACGCTGACTTTTGCTTTTCAAAATGTCCCATCTCGTTCACGGTTGAAAACGTTTGGATTTGTATTATTATAACAGCTCGAATTACTACTAATTAAACCCACTTAGGGTTTTACTATTGAAATTGATAAATATAAATTAATGTTTTTTTCTAAATTAAGACTAAAAATTAAACTAGTTAATACTTCATATTTTTAATTGAAGAAGGTTTTCCTCCTATTTTTTTGCTTGAGTGGATAGTAATATTTTAGTTTTACTTTTAAGGCTGTAGTTTAGAAATATTATTGGAAACGATTAATTGCATTAACAGTTTACGGAGATATACACATTATTTTTTGTGCTTACTAAGGATAAATTGTTTTTTGTTTATGCAGAAGTATTTATTAAAAATACTTTTAAAAAAACTCGAATTGTTTATTTATTTTTATTACCTTTTTTCGGAACAATAATTATAACGGCTCAATAATTACAAGCTTAAAACTAAGAACGGGAATTATGAACTAATTATTAATACCATGATTAAATATTTTTGAGTCCAAACATTTATTTTTTTAGGCCTGAATTAATAAATAAATAATAACACAAATGAAAAGACATAATATTATTGTTCAAAGAAAATAATTTCTTTTAATACAACCAAGACTTGTACATCTAATACAATTATTTGACCAATTGTGGATCGAACATTGTTAAAAACAACTTTTTAAACTGCTGAGAAATACGGCGCATATATTTAAATATATAATACAGGGGGTCCCAAAACGATTTATCCGATTTCAGTAGACTATGAATCCATATTTTTGTGGTCAACGAACCGCCAACCATCTAAAGAGAAAATCCTCAATTTTTTTTCGATTTTCGGTCAAGTTAGGTCAAGTGCACCGGAGTCTAGTGACATTTTTGGTTACAGCCTGGGATTTTTTTCTGCAAGGTTACATAAAAGACGCTGTGCCGAGAGATCTTGGTGAAATAAAAAATTGCATTACAGTCGCCATCAAATTGATTAGGTACGGCCGACTTGCTTCATCAACAGGTTTATGAAGAATTCGACGGGACGCTTAGATGTGCGCCAAGCAAGGGAGGGGAGGGGTGGGGGTAACGTCGACTATTTGTAAGCAAAGTAATAAAAAGTTAATGTAATTGATAACTTATATGCAACTTGTAATTACTCAAATTTTGACAACAGATGAGACTCTTTGAAATCGGATGAAACTTCTTGGGACAGTTTATTGAAAGGCGGATGCGTAGTTTTCTCCGGAAAGTTTGCCTTTCTAAATTTGAAACGCTAACAGGCTCTTTGCCGTGACGCATTTTTTTCATTTGACTTTACCTCAAAGCGAGTTACACAAACAGTTTGTGTAAACTTTTTCAAACACAAACGGTTAAAATACCGCCGACGATGACAAGCCTATAAGAGCTAAGCTACAACGGTGGAATTAAGTGCCGCGTTATAAAGAGCCGTTTTTTGTTTCCTTTTGTTGTCGTTCTCGTAGGAGTCTAAGTTCGCAGTATTTCCATGCGTGATTTGCTGCTTGCAAAGTGTACAAAGACCGTGTCTGAATCAGCAGCTGCCACGTGGAGTTTACTCGTGCCCCGCGATAAACGCCAAACTTTATTATTGAAGGAATTGGAGGCTTACGCGAAATCCAAAGGCACAGACCTAAGCCGAATCCAGCAAGTTCAGCGCGATCAACGTTATAGCGTTTCAATAGAACGCCCGTTGTTTTTGGAATATTATCGCTGTGTTGTTGTTTGAGTGCACTTAACACGAAATTCGATATTTGCGCCTGTAATATTAATATAATAATAATGTATAACTGATGCGTGTGTGGTGTAGTTTCACGACTATTATACAACGTGGAGTCGTGAATAGTGCGTACAGTGGAACAACAGCTTTTAAAAACGGCACGAATGTCGATGAAAACCTAAACGAACAGGTATTATTATAACTAGGTGCACACACGGTTTGAGTGTATTTTGAAAAACCTACAATCGTCATTGTCGCTTTCCTGCAACACGAATGCACTACGTTGTGTGCGCACATTGTTATTTCTGCTCTATCGCCCCATGTGGAATACCTTCTACACTGTCTGATGGGCCTATGCCAAGTTTTTCAAACGTCCGTCTGTTTCGAGTCGCACATATCGACGCCAATGAACACTCCGGCGTACACATTAAAACAGCCGAGTTCCATTATTCACGCAGAAACCATATTATATATTGTTTTCAAACGCAAATATTATACGAAACCGACAAAGACGGTCAGTCTTTTTTTTTATCTATTTATAAAAATTGCACTTTGTTTTCTCATCGGCCGAAGACATTCAGTAATAATATCAGAACACTATGATGACAGTCTTACCGGACCTCTATTACGGGACGTAGCTTTTTCCCCTTTGATACGAAATAAATTACAAGGAATCGC